CTGCTCTAAACCAATCACTCCATCTTGTTTTTTATTTTACCAGTCTCCCTTGCAGGGTGGGCATGGCACCCATTTCTGGCCCTTAAGACCTAAGTGGAGGTGTGCTGGGGAAGGGTGGTTTGGGGCAAACTTTATTATCTTGATAAAAGAGGCAGATTCCATAGCCCAGACCCTTCTCCGTTTTTCTCCCCCTTGAATATGAATGTGAGTTATGGTGCTATTGGTCATGGTGAAGCAACAAGGAGGATAAAAACCAACACACCAAAGACTATGAAGCAAATACAGAAAGAGCTTGTGTGTGTGACTTACACTTCCAGAAACTACCTACTTCATAAATTGTCAGGTGAGAAAAATAATGACCAATGTTTAAGCAGCTTCCTTATTACTTGCAGCTGCATTTTTAACTGACCAGTGTGCTAGAGATGTCCTTCATTATGTGCTCCACCCCTCCCCCATCTAGGAGAATTACTTTACCCACAGACACCGGTACCCAGACGGCTGTGTTTTGTATCACATGCTCCATCTCATTCCCATCTGCCTGCTCAGCTGTTCAGACCTGACCTCAAATTAGTCAATCCATAGGCTGGCTAGTGAACCATGATCTTTGTGGCTGGTCTCAGGAATGAGAGCTGAGACTCCTATGGTTTCTGGCAGGACAGAAAAAGGTGGATGCAAACAGCATGATGGAGTCAGATGAATGGCGAACTCCTGGAAGGAACGTCCACAAATGTCATGGGTGAGGTACTCCTCCAACGCATCCTTCCCTCCTGCTCCTGGCTCTAAAAGCCCCAGTTCCTGGCCCCAGTTCCTGGATTTCTTCTTGGTTCCAAATTCACCCTGGAATTCCTGCTTCATTCTCCAGACAAGAGCAGTTTGAGAATGTAGGCCGGGGTCTTGTTCAGCACTCCCTTCGTTTCCCTGCTTCCACCAAGGGGTGGATGGGGGAAGGGAAGAAACGCCAGCCCAGACCTGTAGGAGAGCTGAGTGCAGCCCCACTTCCCAAAGGTACCACCCCCAGCACCACCTGGGTCCACTGGGCTCCCCAGAGAGCTATTCTGAGCTGAGAGGCTATGGGACGGATTTAGCCTTTACAAGCATCTGGTTTTGTGCTTCGCTGAACCACAAGAAGAAGAAAAAAAAGGAAATTCTTTTCCAAGTGGACAGTGAACATGTAACCTCCTGGGGGTATGACAGGATGGGAATAGAAACAGGGTCAGGAGGGCACTGAGGAGTCAGGGATCTGACAGGTCACCAAGGTCCCAGACCTTTCCCCAGGACCTGTCAGTGCCTGGAGCAGGAGGGACTAAGGGACTAGCTTGTAGTGGTGGTAGTGGTGGTAATGGTGGTGAGGGGCCTGCAGGGGAGAGTGGGGCTCCAGGTGGGAGGGGTGGGTGGGCTGCAGGGCACCTGGAGCAGGAGGACTTCTTTCTGCAGAAGTCTAGGGTGTAGCTGGCTCTCTGGCTGGGGAAGAATACAGGCTCTAGCCCCTTGAGGACTCGTGGAACCAGCTGGGGGGAGGGTCTTGCAAAGATGGTGATGTCAGCCAGCTATCAGGTTGGCACTGGGGCAGTGTCCCAGGCAAGGGTAATGGGGCAACTCCTTCAGTCTAGGATTTAATGAACACTTATACCTAGTCTTGAGCAGCCCTGGGTCAGACAGTCCACTTCCTCATAGTGGATGAAGACATGGATTCTATCAGTGGACTCTAAGCCAGGATGAGCTTGGTGTGAGCTACTGGAGAGGCTGAGGGCTACTCAGGGCTTAATTCTGAACAGGGGGTCTGGGAAGAAGGTCTTGGGGAGATAATGGCAAGTGGAGAGGGCGGGCAGGCTCAGGGCCTCTGGGAGCCTGAAGCCTCAGCATCAGTGGCCTTGTCATGCCTGCATGGAGTAGAGGACATGGCTTTGCATGAGGCTGGTAGACTTGTATTTGAGGTGTCTGGGGTCATCCAGGGGAGGGTGAGCACACATTTAGAGCTAGAGTAAACCCTTGGGATCCATTTATATACAAGTGGTCATTTAGATGATTTGGAGTGGATGAGATTGGGTAGCAAGTTGAGATAAGAAAAAAAAAAACCCTGGGGGACACTTAAGGGCATAGAGAGGCACCTTCACAGGAAGGGGAGAGAGAGAGAGAGAGAGAGAGGGTGAGAGAGAGAGAGTATGTGGTCAGGGGACCGGAAGATCCCAGGGGTGTGGTTCAGGCTGGGAGAGGAATATTTCAGGAAGCAGGGAGCAGCCACCAGTGTGGACTATGGCAGAGATGGGGGTGGGGAGGAGACTGGGGAAGTGAAAGGTCCCAGGTGACTCGCAAAAGCAGCCCTGGGGGATGCTGGGACAGAGGTCCTGGAAAGCGTGTGGGAAGCAAGTAAGATGGGTAGCAAGAGCCCAGCTGGAGAGGGAGGGTAGACTGGAGCTGGGGCCTTGGGAGGGAAGTGGGAATGCAGCTTTCTAAGGAATTGCGTGTGTGTGTGTTGGGTGGGGGGGTGGAAATTGGGCAAATACCAGTGCCCTTGGAGGCTTGCTTCTGTTTCTGTCACATTTCACAAGACCATCCTCCTTCCCACTCACAGAATCCTTCAGGCTTCACTCAATCCCTTGAGGATTATGTAAAGGAACTCCTAGTCCCATTTTGATGGGTACTGAGAGTCTTCCCCGCTCCCCCAGTCCCCTTGACATTTCACAGGGGCCTCCTGCAGTCTAGGGCCCCATTTTTTATATGCACCTCAGGGACAGTCTCTTTAATCAGTTGTATGGGCTGGGCTGGGGTACCTGAGGACCTTCTCCCAGATGTCCCAGAATCACTTGCAAGAGGCTACCTCCTCTAGAAGGGCTGTTGCTATTCCCTCCATTCCTCTTGGCCACTCCAGGACTCTTTGCCATGTCCTGAGAACAAGGTCAGCAGCTCAGTGCTTTACTGATGATTAGAACTGGGATGCTGGATGCCTCTGCTGTGGCACAGCCTCTCTGGGGCTCTGTAGCCCCATCTCCCTCTCCTGAAGGCTCCTTCCCTGGTGTGGAGGGCACAGGAGGAGGTAGCTGTGTGCAGAGAGTCTTGTGTGCAGGAGACATGAGCTGAGGCTTAAAGGTCAGATATGTTTTGCTGATTGATCATCAAGCCTAGAGAAAGTACTGGGCAAGCTGCTGACCCCACCTGCCTCTACACCCACTGTTATCCAGGACAGGGAGGCCCCCTAAAATCCTTCTGATGAAGGCTCCCTCCCTACATTTCTCCCTTGTCCTCACTGTCGACCTCCTGTGGGCTCAGCTGCCCTGGCATGTGGGAACCCTCTTAGAGACCCTCCCCTGCTGTTGAACCCCTGCTGGGGAGCCCAGAGTTCAATCCTCTGACACTAGGGTCTGCCTCCTTGCTGAACTTTGCTTTGACGGATGGCCCCCACCTCTGTGAGAAGACTGTGGGGGCTGTGCCCAGTGTCCCCAGCTTTAGGGCAGCCAGTGTGCTGCAAGATGGGGCCCTCTTTGGGGTGTGCAACATGATCCCAGTACCTGCTTTTAACTGCCCCTCCTGTGCCTTGTGGGGGTTACCAGGCCTGAAAGTCCAGTATCTGCTGTAGACCCACAGTGTGAAATTTCTGCTCCCAAGCCCAGGTATTGGCTGTCTTTTTACCTTGTAATATTGGGATGAGGGGTCTGAAATTGTGGTGACCTTTTAAACAGACTACCTCCCTACTACAGAATGGAAGCTTTTGGCTCAAAATACTGGTTCATGTTGGCCCCAGCAGTTGGTTCTTCCAGTTTCAGAACACCACCACTCCAGACAGCCCAGGATATTATCTAACCAGCTCTCCTTCCAAGGGTCCATTGGGCTACAGTCATCATTCCCATGCTGGTTGGGTGTATGTGGTTGATATTATCTAGCTGAAGACTGAACTACCTGTAGTCTCTTGGGAACATGACAAGTGTTGGACATTTTACTCAAAGCCAATAAGCATGGTTCCTAGGTAGGTGTTCTCTCACCATGTATACCTGTCTACTTGGGCTTGTACATTTTTTCATGTAAAGTAATGTTTCACCCATTTAACTGATGGCTACCTTCCAGACTGAGGCCCTCAGAGCATCACAGATACATCTGGTGAGACTGAAAAAGCGAAACTTTGTGCTTATAATTACTGTTTGTTCCCAAGACTAATCATGTGAGTTTTAAAAGCCAACAAAATGCCCGAATCTTTTGGTTATGCTGAAAGTCCCAAAGGACAGCAGCCATCAGTTAAAGAGACAGGTTGAAACTAGAAAGGTGAACACAGACCCAATTTATCCTCTTGTGGGCCTTTAGTGCTTGAAGGATTTTAGAATAACAAAAAGTAGTTCTTTATGGGTTGTAAGCTGAAGATGAACAGTTTGCACAGTTTGGACAAAATAGAAGTACTCTGACCAATAAATATGTCTAAAAATGACAAAGTTCTCCCCATTTGATGGTTCCAGAGCCCAGCAAGAAGTGATGGGCACAGGCACAAGGAGCTATATACAGTGTAAACAGTAAGGCCTTTGGGGAGACAAAGCGAGGGGCAGGGCGGAGCCTCAGTAGGGCAAAGTGGGCCCACACGTTAATACAACAGGCTTGTAGGACAGTCATCCAATCTGCCACCAAAGCTTGTGGGTGGCAATGGCAGGCCACTGGATTCCTCCAGTCTGCAGTAAGGATAAATTGTGTCCATTGAGAAGCTTTGGCCCCACTGACTTTTTCTGGAGGGGAGGCATTGGGGGCAGCCAGGCAGGGCCTCTGTGCCCTTTCCTCCCCAAGAGGATGGACAGGGCTGCCTGGCCATACTTGGGGCCATCTACCCAGGGTTCAAGGCATGGATGGGGCAGTGTTTCTCAAACAGGGTTTGGAAACAAATGGCCCCAAGGAGCCCTCAGCCTCTCCCTTGAAAGGAGGAGCTGGGGGCTTCTGTGTCCAGGAGGGGGAGCCCATAACTTTCTGCCCTTCAAGGGCTTCACCCACACCTCAGTTCCTCGGGGATTCTGGAGAGCAGTCACCCTGATCAATTTCTGGGTCCTTGATTCTCACCGGCCTCTTGAACAAAGCCAACCTCCATCTCCACACCCTTCTCCCACCCCCAGCACACTCCTCGGCCTAACTCAGGGGTCCTTAAATATCAGTCTCACGGAGAAGGCTAGAGTTTGCCAATTCGTAGGCCTGGCAGGTGGTGCCCTCAGCTGCCTCACTGCGGATGCCTAAGCACACAGCTTCCACCTCCAAGTGCAGGGCGCACGCAGCCTCTCTGGTGTGCTTCTTTTGCGACAGGCTGGAGACCCTGGCATGCAGCGGGGTGGTGGGTTTCCGGAATGGCCCGAGAAGCCTCCACTTGCGAAAGGCGCAGGGCGGCTTTCGACGGCCGATGACCGGAGCCGGCGCCTTGCGTGTGCCTGGGGAGCGGGGGGCTGAGGGCGCGGTGAGGGCCAGCAGGGCCCCGGAGGGTGCGGTGCCTGGGCCAGGAGTGTAGTCAGGGCGCGGGCCACCATTCGAGGCTTGCCAGTGGTGACCGTAGATGCTCCAGAGGGGGCGGTGGTGCTGGCGACTGCGATGGCATTGGCAGCGCAGGAGGCGGAGGAAGGCCCGCTTGAACTCCCGGCTGGAGCAAGGGTAGATGAGCGGGTTCACGCAACTGTTGAAGTAGCCCAGCCAGAAGATAACCTTGAAGACGCCCTCTGAGGGCTTCAGCTGTGGGAACAGGGAGCCTGTGGGAAGCAGAGACCCAGGCTGGTTAGATGCTCAGGGAGAGGGAGTCCCAGGCAGCGCCTGGTGCAAAGGGGCCACCCTCTCTGCACTACTCCCCTTCCCCCCACCCCTTTCAGGGGCCCTGGCCATTCATCAACCAGTGGCTCTCAGGATATCTCTCCTCAATGAGTCCCTGATATAATTCGAGGGTGTCCATGAACTTGAATGAGAAAAAATAGTCATCTTCAGCTTTACTCACATTTCCCTGAAACTGAGCATTTCCAGCGAGTTAAGCAACAAACCTGAGTAGAATTAGACAAAACGATATGAAATCACTGTTTTGTAGCTCAAAACTGGTGCAATATTGGCAGTTTACCCCCTAATATTAGCAGTTGCTACAGATATTTTGGAATATTGTCTATGCTTCTCGCTATTTGGAAATGTCAGTCACTAGAACATGCCACTAGATCTTGTTATTTAAAGCCTTCACGTGGAAACACACTGGAGACTAAATCACAGATTTCAATTAAATGAAGTCGATTTCACCTGCAATCCTTTGTATTTTATTTTTTGCATTTGAAAGAGTAACTCTGAGAAAGGCTCCATACACTTTGCCAGATGCCCAAGTAGTCCCTAGCATAAAAAGGGTAAGAACTCCTGAATTAAATGTTGACCAAGGCTTGCCCTGAGCCAGGCACTGTGCTGGGCTGTCATCAAACACCTGAGGCCTTGCTCTCCCGGTAGCAATGTGGATCACATATCATGGGAGTGCAGGTGGGATGATGGTGGTGCTCAGTATATTGGGGTGGGGGGCTTCCAGGGTCTCAGGATGGACAGGAGCCAGGCAGGATGAGGAAGGGCAGAGGGTATCAGGAGTGAAAGGGACAGGTGGGCAAGAGGATAACAAGTTTGGGGCATGGGAATGTCCTGTAGGATATGCTCAGAAAACTTCATTTGAGACAAATGGTGAAGGGCCTTAAATGCTGGGAAGTTTGGCTTTTATTTTGTGGGTAGTTAGGAGCCATGGATATTTTTGAGCAGGCAAGAGATAGAACCTAGAATTAAGCCTCAATAAACACAATGCCCATGAGCTGTCAGAATGCAGGATAGTGGGGCTGTCCCAGTGGAAGTGGGAAGTGGTCAGGAAGGCTTCTGGGATGGCTTTGAAAGGGAGCAGAGTGCCAGGCAGGAGGAGGTGGGGGCACTGGGGTCTGAGCTGTGCCAGGAAGACCCTCCTCCCTGCATACCTTTCCCCTGTCTTCCCCACCATAGCCCTCAAGGAGTCATGTCTCCAAAGGCACCTAACAAAATGCAAAGACATCATCCAGGAAGCAGAGGCCACTTTGTCACCCTCACTATCCTCAACATCAGCAGGGGTCGGGGGTAGGCGGCAGAAGCGTCCCATCCCAGGCAAAAGCTTCAGGTGTCTGCCAGGCTGAGCAGACCAGGGGTAGTGGTCCTTGACAAATCATGGTCCTTGACAAAGCAAGACCTGCTTTCTTTTCTCCTTGCCCTCAAAGAAATAAGAGCAGTGTCCCCTACTGAGGGAGCAGAGGCACCATGCCCCCCTCTTTGACCTGGGGGCCCTTGCATATCACCCACCTCCCACCCAGTGGGATTCCTAATGCTAAGAGACACTGTGGAGGAAGAGGAGTGTCAGGCAGTATTGCGTGGCACAGCATTTTCAAACCCTGGTCACGCAGCCTTGAGCAAGTTGTTTGGCCGTCTAAGTCTCACTCTTCTTTTCTGTGGGATACACACAACAATTTCTCTGAAGGGATTTTGTGACAATTCATAAATTTCAGGGCACAAGACTTCGCAGTTTTGTAGTAAATACTGGAGTCTGTTCACTGCCCCTTTCCCTCCTTCTGTGGCTTTTGAGAGAGGAGACCTCAGCCCTGGGAAGGGACCCCGTTCCCAGCTCTGGAGAGTGGCCAGAAACAGTAGCCGAGATCTGGTGGGTTTGGGGGAGGCTGGGGCAACACTCGGAATGTAAGGAGATAATTTCCCTTGGGAGAAGAATTGGGCAGTTGTCCCTGGAATGTGGGGGCCACCAGTGTTGACCTTAGCCTCTTTCCCTACTTCTGTGGCTTTTGAGAGAGGAGACCTCAGCCCTGGGAAGGGACCCCGTTCCCAGCTCTGGAGAGTGGCCAGAAACAGTAGCCGAGATCTGGTGGGTTTGGGGGAGGCTGGGGCATCAATCAGAATGTAAGGAGATAATTTCCCTTGGGAGAAGAATTGGGCAGTTGTCCCTGGAATGTGGGGGCCACCAGTGTTGACCTTAGCCTCCAGGAAGGCAGCCTTCTGAACAGCATCCCTTAACGGCTGCAAAATAAGACAGAGTGCTGAAAATAACTTTCTGACTCAGGCTAGAATTGTTTTATATTTAGCCCAGGATGACAAATCAGGGGACTATGCTTTAAGCAGTAAGCCAAAAGCCAGCCAAAGGGCTTTGTTATTGGTGTGGTTTTGATTCGGATTGGTGGGCAACATGGCATATAGTAGTGTGGCCTGGGCCTTGTTTTAAGCATTAAAATTCTAATTCATGCTCAACCAACCTATGCAGAAGCCTGCTGCCAGCTGGGAATTCCTTACACACAAAGGAGCTGGGATACAAACTCAGCCTTTCAGCCCCAGGTTTTTCCTACTGTGTCCTGCTGAGGGTTCTGTCTTACTTTGGGGTCTCCCAGAAGCAGACCTGAGACAAGGATTCAAATGCAAGTTGTTAATTTGGAAGGTAAATGAAACACCAGTAGTGAAGTGTGATAAAAAGAGGGAAGAGAAGGAAGCCAATAAAAGGAGAGTTAACAAGTTAGTCACTCTCACTGGGAGCTCTGGGGGACTGGAGAACAGGATCAGTAAGGTGAAGGAGGTGGGGTGTCTATACTCCCATTACCATAAGCCAGTGTTTGGGTTGCTCCCTCAGGGTGTTAATTTTCCATACTTCCTGCTTGCTGTGTGGGTGGACAGTGAGGATTTTGCTGGTCAGAGAATGCTGCAGGCGAAGATATGGAGGCAGCTGCTGGGGCGGAAAGTGACCCATGTTCGGGGGGATGGGTGGGGCACTGACAGCAGCCGCCACAATTTTGTTTCATTGCTGTCTGCCCTCTGTGCACAGACATCTTGCCTGGAAAATACAGACATCTGTGCCTTGGGCTCCAGCTTTCACAGGCAGGAGCTCCTAAGAGATTTTTACTCTGTTCCTTTCACATATGGCAGTCCTGAGCCTCACACCTACTTCTGCCCAGAGAGCTGCAGTCTACCCCCTATGCCTCCTTGCACCCTGCCTCACTCTTTGCTGCCTGCCTGCCCCAACGTTCTCTCTTCTGCCCACAGCCTCTTTCAAGGATCTCTGGGTCGGGGGAGAGGGGCTTGTGGGAACTTCCCTCCCCTTTGCCATGGACGAGGTGGGTAACTGTCCTGAGACTCCCGAGGGTGCTCACTGGCATTATCCCTGCAGCACTGCCCTGTTCTCAGGGCATCAGTGGACAAACCCCTTCTCAGCCACTCCCAACTTTCTCCTCCTCCAGCTACTCTGACTTATGGCCTCTTAGGTCGACCACTTGGTTTCACCTCTCTTGCCTTCACAGTCCTCTCCAGCTGCCCAGCACAAGCCTCTGCCAGCCCCGGAAGCCCAGCTACAGGAAAGCCTCAATGGGTACATGGGGTCTCTGAGGCAAGGCCTCTGTCTCCTAGTACCTGGCACTCCCCTCCTCTGTCCTGAGCTGGCTCCCTCTCCTACTCCCCACATTGTCCACAGCCATTCTTGCAGGCATAAAGCACAGCTGTGCTAACTCATCTTGGCAGTTGTCACTGGAAACAGGTGCTCATGGGACCCTCCTCTCTCAGCCTCCTGCCATCCAGGCGCCCAGCACCACCCCCTTGTTCTCCTTTCTCTTGCAATTCCTGCTTCTCTTTTGTCTTCATGTGCATCAGCTAACTCGCCACACTGACTGTTCACTTCCCTCTGGCCACAGCGGGCTCCCCAGTCTTGTCTCTGTGCTTTTGCACAGGATCATCCTGGACTGCCCTTCCTCCTTCCTCCACCTGGTAGCGCTGGCTCCAGTGGCACCTCATCCTGGGAGCTTTCATCACACCATCCCCTCCTGACCCAGCAGAGTTAGTTGTATTCCCCCCTCCCCTAGCACATCTATTCACTTCTCAATGCCAAGAACACTGTGGGTAACTACCAGTTTCCCATCTATCTGATCCTTAAATGGAGAGCTCCCCACACCATCCTTGGCACATCATAGGTGCTCCACATATTCTGACCCCTCTCTTTCTGTCACACTCTGCATCCCATCCATCACCAACTCCTGTTAGTCCTGAATCCCCCACTTTGCACCATCCCCTGTTACCACCCTGGTCCCAGCTACTATCATCATCTACCTACAGTGCCCTTCCAAGTGGGCTCTCTGTTCCTGCCCCTGTGCCCCCCATAGTACCCTGTTCTCCACATAGTACCTGGGGGGACTGTGTCCTTTTAAAACATAAGGCTGAGCAGTTCATTTCTTCACAAATCTATATTCCACTGCTGACTGCAGCTTTCTGTCCTCTCTCTTTTTCTCATCTGAACTTTGACCTGCCAGCCCCTTGGATTTCTCCTATCATCTCTGCTTAGCTGAGACTTCTCCTCACTTGCACCCCAGCCATTCTTTCCTCAGTCCTTCCATGTGCATGTCCTTCTGGATTTGGGTTGTATTTATCCAGCCAGAGCCTAACTCTGGAGAGATTCACCCATACTCTGAACATGTTTAGGGTCTCCAACCTCAGCTGTGTGTCCTGGCTTCCAGCAATCTTGCCATCCATCCTCAGCCCACTCCCCCCCCACCACCTATTCTTGCACCAGCTCCTTTGAGCCTTTACCCCTCTCCACAGGCTCTGCAGTCTGCCCCTTTCCCTTCTCTAAAGCAGTTGATCTCACTTCCTATTTCACAGGGAAAACAAGACAAAGAAGTTGGGCACTCACTCAAACCTTCTTCACCTGTCTTCCTCCTTGGTAAGAAAGTAGTCTCTCCTC